GCCGCAGGTTCAAGAAGGTAGCTCTGGCTTTTGCAATGCGTGAGCTGACTTCAGTTTCTATGCGCCCATCATTGCTGATGCAGCTGCCAAGATAAGTGAATTGATCAACCACCTCGAGTTCCTCGTTAGCAAGTGTCAAGGGGTTATCAAGTGGCTGGTGGTTCTGCAAAAGCATTTTGCACTTTGAAGGTGCGAAGTGCATACCAAATAATGGGACCACTCTGGACAGGCTATTCAGGGTTGATTGTGCCGCCGCAAAATGCTCGAAAAGCGAGACGATATCGTCCGCATAATCTAGATCAACTAACCTTTCACCAGGCAGCACTTCAACGCCTACATTGTTGGATTCCGTCAGGGAACACTCCATAATAGAATCCACGACGAAATTGAACAAAAACGAGGAAATCGGACAACCCTGACGAACGCCACTTGTAGTCGAAAAGCTATCCGTTAGGACACCATAGACCCTGACGCCGACTGTAGTGTTCGAGTATAGAGCACGAAGGATGTTCACATATTTCATGGGAACATCTTTCCGCGCAAGTATTTCGAACAGAATCGATCGATCGACTGAATCGAACGCACTCTTGAAATCGAGGAACACAGCTATTGTCGGTCTGCGGTATACGTGGCGCTGTTCTAGCACCTGCCGCAATGTGAATATATGGTCTATACAGCCACGTTCTAGGCAGAAGGCGGCCTGGTCTTCCCTAATCCGAGATTCCCGTTCCGCAGTGATGCGAGGAACGAGAGTCGAGGCCAGTAATTTTGTCACAACTGGCGTTGGACTAATACCCCTGTGGTTCGCACAGTCTGTGCGACTGCCCTTCTTGTATATTGCCACTATAATCGATTCGCTCCAATTAGCTGGCACACCCTTCGTTCCAGATACGTTCGAATAGGGAGGTCAGTGCTCTGCAGAGGACCTCACCTCCATCCTTAAATAATGCAGGTTCGAGGGAATCTGGGCCAGCGGCACGAAAACGATTGAGGGCTGTGATCGCGTTTCGGACCTCGGCCTCCGACGGAGGCTCTAAACTAACCGTCCATGGCACGTCCTGCATCACCTGAGTAGAAAGAGGTCCGGGAGCAGGGGGCCAGCTGAACTGATCTTCAAAGTGTTCCGCCCAACGAGCCATACGGCGCTCCTTATTGTGTATCAGCGCACCCGTGCTGTCTCTGATTGTCTCACTGACGCCTGGTTTTCTGGGTCCAGTAGTGCGGATTAGCTGGAAGAGTTTGCGGTAATTGCCTACTGCTCCTGCCTCCTCCATTTCTTGAGCCCGACTGGTCTACCAAACCTTCTTGTCAGCACGTAGGTTCAGCTTTAGTTCACGCCTAATAGCCCGTCTGGTCACATTGTGTTCAGAACCAGCCGGGAGGTGTCTTCTGGATTCCAACAGATTCACCGACCGCTCAGATATCCAGTGACTAGTGTGGTGAGGATGGATAGTGCCACAAGCAGATGCTCCTGCGTTGTGCATGGCAGCCGAGATCTTATTCCACTGAAGCTCAGTGTCATTAGGACAAGACAGCGAAAATTCGCTATGCAGTGCTTCTTGATAGGCTTGCCTGACCGAGGGCTGGGACAATTTCTCCGTTGCCAATCGGGGGAGACGCTTTGTGCGCCTTCCGGTAAAGTTCATGGAGAAATGACAGCGCACCAAGGCATGATCAGAGTCGACACAGGTACTCCAATACGAGCGGCAATCCAAAATGGAACGGCGCCACCTGTAACTTATGGCTATGTGGTCAATTTGGGTCCATCGCTGGTCAGCTATGGGAGGACGCCAAGTGGCACTTCGGCGCCCACTGTCTAAAAGCAGTGCTACTAAGAAACAACTGGTGCTCCGCACACAGTTGCAGCAAACGCTCGCCGTTGTCAGTCTGTTCGAAGTTAAGCCCATAATTACCACCCATCTGAGCTTCTGAAGAGCTCAGACGCCCTACTTGTGCGTTCATATCCCCTGCAAGTACTATAATATCTGAACTAGTAGCACTGCGTAATAGCGCGTTCAGTTCGTGATAGAATGTATTCTTGACAGCATTAGAACTGCAGTCGGTGGGAGCATAAACGGAAATTACAAACAAACAGCGTTTTGTATTACTACGTGAATCCACCTTAGCTGATGTCGTCAAACGGGCTGCACATAAACGGCTGTTCACCGGAATCCAATCAACCAACGATGACACAGCGTTGGAGCTTAGAATGATACCTACACCAGCATGACCCGTGAGTGCTGCATCGGCGTCTCCGGATGCGTGCAACCAATAACGAGAGGATAAGTCTGGTGCAGTTAATAATAACTGCGTACATTGCGCGATCTGATCACGGCGGCAGTTGCCGAATTGCGAGAGAAAGGCCTCATACATGCATAGAAGAAGCGGCATGCACCGATGGGTTGTACTCCATCGACATCGAGCGCATGGTGATGTAGCACATGCGGTCGCGAGTGCCTGAGTCAAGCAGACCTAGTGAGCCATGAGCGAGGCCACTCGAAGCCACCACCGAAACGACTATGGGTCCTGCAGGAAACGTAGATAGAGCCGGCGCAGCGTTTGTAGGTACGCTGCATTCGATTTACTAATCGCGTGCTTGCATGCTAAGTCTCCTTATTTTAGGTGGTGGGTTTTCAAATGTGTCCTAACGCTTTTCTTTCTCATAATAATGTCTACCTGAACTATGTTCGTTTAACTTGCACAAGTTACTAAAGCCAATTTTGGTTAACTTCGATAACATTTTCGCGCTTGCGGTATTTTCTTAAAATATATTTCCTGACGTATTGAACCTATCGCGGATTCCTTCGTAACCAATTTATTTTATGCGCTCATTTATTGCGGAGTTATGTCGCCGTATCTGTATGGCTTCTCCGATTTCTTTTCTTTCATCTTGTCGTTTCAAGTAAGTGGCCTTTGCTTGATATCCCCTGTGTGGCTGCGCTTGATGTGTATGTTGACAAGGTGCCTACCTGTCTATTACCCACTACCTCGTCCATACTGGCTCCAGGAGACAGTTGATCGTTGCTGGTTTGGACGGGGTGCACGGTCCTTGTGGCCGTGCTAGGCTCAAAGAGTGGTTCCATGCACTCATTGTGAAGCGGACTACTGTCCAGCCACCGCCTTGTGTGCGTTTGATTCCCCAAATACAGCGTGCTTGTGTTGGACTGAGAACGAATGTGGGCTGCCCCGTTGATGAAACCTGGATCCCATCCACATGCCTCCCGGTCTTATTCCTTCGGCTATACATTGGATATGCGGGTGTGAGTGGTACAACGCAAGTCATCCATTGTCGCTCTTTCGGCGCAGGCGTCCTGTGGTTGTTCTGTGCAGGCCACATTGACAGGCAAATCCGGAACCGGATGCCGCCAACCAGATGGCATTAGATCAACTGGCAAGACTCACTATTTTGCGCTTGTTCCGGCTCGTGCATAAGTGTAGGTAACTATTCGCATTTTTAGTGAAAACAGTTTTGTTTTTTACCTGCTGCTCGATGGTTTAGTGCTCCAGTTTGACATCCTCTGCTCTTGATGAGTGAATTGAAGAATCTGATCTCCAGGTTGCGTACTTTTGATCTATCTACCATCCCTACCGTTGCACGCGCAATCCACCAAGTACTTGACCCAAGATGTTCCGGTATTTATCTCCCAACTGGTATCAGCGCCGCATTTCCTAGCCTAGAGGTTGTCGGCCCGTAGCCTCGTGGTAACGAGCTTTTCTCGGAATCTTGCTGTGCGGATTCGAATCCGCTTCGGGGTGGGCGTCCTCGCGGTATATTCAGCCCGCGTGCAACTGGTGGTGGTCGCACGGCAGCGAATCGCCGTTACGGCGTACAGCTGACACATTCTTGCACATTATTCCTCTCGTTTTGGTTGGTGGTTTGAATTGTGTAAGGTACTGATTTATCTGTGGGCTGAGGATGATTATCATAGCAGGCATCGAAAATCACGAGGAATCTGCATCACAGTTCTTCTCGAACTGTGCGTTGTCGGCAAGGTGCAGACACCATGATCCTCGGAACATTTGGATTTTATGTCTAACCCCTCTCTGGTATTATAGTCATCTTCCGACTTTTTTCCTCTTTTGAAGTAGCAATGCAGCTTAGAAAGCCACTGCTGTCTGGGGTAACACTCGAATTTCACTCAGATGAATATTTCCTTAATCCAAGCAATCTCGATCCTTCCCTGACGCTCCAGATTAACGTGCGATATATGTAACTTGGCATTTTGTCAGCCACGTTCAAATTATTCTAAACCTAGACGATTCCATCTCTCCGAAAAGCATATTGCTTGACTTCAACGAATGAGCGCAAGAGTTCGCCGTGCGCTAGCACTGACGCTAGTGTTCGCCCCTCCGTATCGCGTACCACTGGGGCGGACATTTGCTTCGATCGTCTCTGGTTCACTCTTGCCCATCACTCTCAAAGTGTGTATGTTCGTCGAGCAGGTAGAGTTGAATATTCTATAGTCCGAATGGTAACATTCTCCCTACGAGTAGTGGCGAGAGTTGTCACACCGGGACGAGAAGAGTTGATGAGGTTATCTGTTTAGGCTGATGGATCTAATCGGGCGTTCAGTCTGTCATTCGGGTTGTCCCAGCTGTTAACACTACATAGTTTGTCTGCTTGCTTAGTGCAGTTCCAATTGATTATGTTGAACGTAGAGTCCAGTCGCGCGTGACATCTATAAAATTTTTGACCCTTTTTGTGCTGTTACTTAGCGTTCTTAGGCAAGACCCAGTGACTGCTACCCAGGGCCTTCAGTTTTGGTCTCCTCATCCTGTTTACTTTCGTTTTTTTCTTTTGTAATTTCTTACCTCTTTGTCTTTCCACTGGAAAAATACCCATGCGCCCTTACAACTGTGTTCAGATGCTCTATTACGTCGGTTGTCCTACATTTGATACAATTTTCCGTGGTCACCGGTATTTCTTGGTGTCACGCCGCCATCTCACCCACATTGCGCACCCTCCCGGATACCGTCATTCCGTGTCCTTTTCATTTCAGGGACGACGACCCACCCGTCCAAGGTCCCATCAACCGCGAGCCGGCGGACAAAGTGGACGACCAGCTTGCTCGAGGTCCGGGTATCAAGCAATTGTGAGCCACTGTTTACTCTCACTTGCGCCGATGTTTTCCCGACATTTTCACCATTCTCATCCACTCTGCAAGGGTTCCGAGCATTTTCTTGCTCTTCAGTTGCGTTTTGTAGTGTTCTTATTAGTTCGTGAAACACTTCGTACTGGCTTTGTGTTGCCGAAGATCTACAGCTGAAGGCGACCTTGCAGTCTCCATAGCCCGAAAGCGGCTGGTGGTTATTACGTGGCAGCGCAACGTCGACACGATATGTCGGCGTACTGCCGACGCATTTCTTCTTTTCTCTGTACTACAAAGGTCAGGGGTCTTCTGTCTTTGTTGTGTGTTGTGGTGCGGTGCGGTGTGTATTCACGCGATGCTGTTCGTTCGCTCCTCGAGACTACATTTTAGGATGAGGGGCGTGACTAGCCACCGCATTTTAGATACATTCACTTCGTTTCTTCAAATCGGGTAATTGCATCCGCTATCCCTGGCCAACTATAGTATCAATTTCTGGTCTTAGTTACTGGCTAGTATATGCAGTCCTGTTCTTGTCTGTGACCGCATAATTCGTTGGATGGCTTCATTGAACCCTCCCACCTACTTGTTTGTCGTTTTTCTTTCCTTTGTCAAGTATTGCGCTACACTGTAAACGGTATTTCGTATCACTCCATGTTCCCCGGGTGGTTAACACTTAGCTGTTGACTTGGTTTCGCATTAAAGGACGTTGTTTATGTCCTTATATTACTGTCCATCGCTCAATAACAAGCTCGTACCTACACTTGCTTCTCCTTTCAGTTTCGAAAACCTTTTCTTAAAGCTTTCTCAATGAAGAAAATTTCATCTCGGTGAATCATGCATCCCGATACTTTGCTTTCGGTCAACTAACACTTTCTCACCTCTTCTGGAGTCGACACGTGAGTCCTCATCTTAACTCGCTCACTCTTTTATTCTGTGCTTTGCTTCTCGGTTACGTAACATTCTTTTAGCATGATACTTCTTCTTTTCACTGAGTGATTTTCTGGTGACCCGATGCCGGCATACCTCTTGTTCATGCGGAAATATTGAAGAATCTGTCATCCATCACATTGACGTCCACTTCCGCGCTAGTTTGAAATTCGGTCCTTGATCGATTTTTCCTTACATTTACAACGTTGTTCGATGTCGACGTAATCCCAGTTTCTGTATAGCTTTTAAGCAGAGTTGTATTTGAGGCTTTTACGTCACTGATGCTGAAGATGCTTTGGAACGGCACTCTAGCCATGAGACCGTTTGCTTTGAGTCAAACTTTTTTCCGTAACACCCTAGTACCAGCTAACCGACACTTCGGACCGGACATCACCGAGTACTCAGCTGCCCTACTCCAGCTTTTTCCACTTATTACCTAAGGGGGTCTTGGTCTTTCTTTACTTCAAGTCTGCGTTTAATGCCTCTTCCGTTTAATTACTAGACGAGTGCTCGAGTACAGCTCACGTATTGTTAGAGCACTCGTGCCGAGGTGCAGTGGCCGAAACGTGTACAGTATGTAGTTACCAGACTTGGGTTGTACACACTTTCGTTATCGTCGGTTTCTAATGGACCTCGTAATGACGCACCGGATATTACATCTGGTTAACTTCCCTAAGCTGAGGCCGCTTCTGCAAGTAGGCACACCAATCAGCATTCGCGGACACCGGTACATGTTCGTAATACCGGACCTGAAGCGGATAGCTCATCCCCTATGCTTCGACCGTCGTGTGATGAAATATTGGAACAGTTTGCCCGAGACGACAGTCGAGGTGAAATCGGTGTCGGAATTCAAGAACTTCCTAGATACGGATTTCGAGAACACCTTGCACTTGGATAGGATATCGCATAACCGAACTATCCTGACAGTGCGCGCTACTAAATGACGCTTTTCTACGCACTTGCCCAATCCAACCACAATGGGGCAGCACATATGTCTATCTTCTAGCTCTTTGTTTTCAGTGTTCAATATCTGGTTTGCTCTATGGATATTGATAACGTATCATAGCAGTTTCTCTACACTCGGAGGCACATACGCCACGGTTCTCAAGGATCTACGAGGGGACTTCTTTTGCACCCTTCACAATGAGTTTGCTACCGCTTTGTAATCAAAAGTAACATAAATGAATATATCATGTATACTTTTGCATTGGCATTTTTGCTGACTTATGTGATTAATTCTCTTAGGATTAGATCTACCTTTATGGATTTGCGTAGACTGGGATGTAGCACACTGCTTCGGCGTGTGCTTCTCAACTGCGACGTACAAGGTGCCGTCGTATAGCTGAGTCGACGTCCCTCCAACTTTAGGTCAGTGGACTAGCGTTCCGTACGGTCAATCAGCTCACTTATCCAGTCGGCTATTATCTGAAGAGGTTCCGACTCGCACCAGTGGGACAGATTTATCTCAACCGCCTCTGTAAAGCGAGTGGCATAGTTGTTTGTCAATCAAAGGTAAGGTGTGTAACGCGGTTGCTTCTGTGCAGTTCAAAGATGTGACTGCTGTGTGTTGACTGTGTTTCCAGACTAGTGGCCTTGTTTCACTAGCGCCTGCAAGTCGTTTCGCATATCTGGTAGGTCCATCTAGGGATCAGTGTCCATGTCCACGAGGCTATGTTTAGGAACGGCGCTAGCCATGTTTTGCATTTGAACCGCCTACGTTGGCTTTTCGTATGTCTGTTCTCCCCCTACTTCTAACTATGTTGTTTTTCTCTCCGATAGCTTTTTATCCCCAAGTTTCCATTATATTTCTCGACTCTGTGAGAATCTAATCCCAAACATGATCAGATCCAATGCATTACAGATATTTCGTGCTCTCTCATAAGATTAACTAAGTGTGTTCAAATGCAACGGTTAAGAGTTAGGGATCAGGAGTATCAAAAGTATGGATGTGTATCTAGAATTCTTCAGGACATTACAACTTGTTCACTTTGTTAAACACAACCGATTCTTGCGGAAATCCCAACTGCACATCTTTCGTTCATTGCGTTCGAAGATAGCATCCGTGGTACATTACATGGAAGAAATGACCAGAGTTGGCCGAGAGAAAAGAAGTTATGCATAGTCAATATATCGATATGTCAGCATCGAAATGTAAGTGCAAGCTTACTAAAAGTATGCTTTTATTTCAGTTGACTCTTTTGGAATTTTGAAAACCGCAATAGCATGGCTGGGCGTAGAGCATAGCGTACGTCATCACTTTACATGAATAAAAGTATAATACTGGACACAAGCAGTGGGGAATGTGGCAAGCATCAGAAAACAGTTGAACACTTGATCATAGGTTTGCGCAAATGCTTGTTCTTACAATATACTTTCACTCAATAAGCATTAGGAGGTAGCAACAATTTAAAAAGGATTCCGTTTGCCTTCCTCTTTTTGGCATTATGTGGTAAAAAGTATCGACCTAGGTATGATATGTACAACTTCTATGTATTGAGGCCGATAAAAGCTTGTACGTAACAGGAGTAAGGAAAGTGGTGTTAAGAGACCGGTTTATCTTCTCTTTTTGGCTCCCATGTGAACGCGAGAACCAGGAGATGGGCATGATTGAAAAGACGAGAAAGTGATGAACCAATGAACAAAGGAACCAACTCTGTTTCCCCTCTTAGCTTCCATGGGGGGTGGGGGACATTGGCGCCATGAGGTGCGTATGTCCGATTAATGATAGATGAGAAGGAAGGTCAAAAAATTAACAAAAACTACTCTGTTTGTTTCTATTCGTCGAACTTCTTGTGAACAAGGAAGTTATGACGCAGGTATGGCAGAGTTGACAATGAAGTTTGAACAATTGGAAGTAATTTTTCCACGTTCTCCGCTTTTGCTGTATGTTGCCTACACCGCTTTCAAATACTTCACTAGATTCCCTCCTTGTGCTCAGCTTGTTTTAGTATTCGCTGCAAAGAACCTCTCTCTTAAACGTGTTAAACAGTTTGGTTTACCTAATGTTTTCTGGCAGTTTGTTTCATATTTTGAGATACACCATCAAGAAGAATTTTCCATTGTCCTAGTACGGCACCTTGGTGTATGACACTTCATTGCACCATCTCTGAATTGGTGCCGTTTATATATATATATATATATATATATATATATATATATATATATGCTGAGGCTGATGTTGCATTCATGATGATTCTTCACCGCAGTTGGGCTAAATCAGCTTACATTTAAACTAGGTCTTTTTAAGCTGGATAGATTTCATCCACTTTATTTGGTTTGTTCTGCCTACCTGACTGATCTTCTATTAACTGACCACGTTGCTTACGTTAATTGTGGTTATCTTCGTTAAGTTAATTGCGTTTGTAGCATTTTTTGCGTAACTTCTAGACATTTTGTACTTATCGCGGATCCTTTGCTAACCAACTTACTTCATATGCTAATTTAGGGGTGAGTTATGTCTGCATAGCCGTATTCTTTAACAAATGTTTTATTTGATAATGTCATTTCAAGTGATTGGCTGTTGTTTGATATCCCCGGTGTGGCTGCGCTTGATGTGCATGTTGACAAGGTGTTTACCTGACTAGTATCCACTACCTCGTTCATATTCGCTCCAGGAGACAGTTGGTCGTTGTTGGGGGAGACGGGGTGCACAGTCCTTGTGGCCGTGCTAAGCTCGAAGAGTGGTTCCATGCACTCAGTGTGGAGCGGACTACGGTCCAGCCACCGCCTTGTGTGCACTTGATTCCCCAAATACAGCGTGCTTGTGTTTGTCTGTGAAGGAGCGTGGGCCGGCTCCGTTGATGAAACGTGGTTCCCATCCACATGCTTCCCGGTCTTATTCTTTCGGGTTTACACTGGATATGGGATGTGTGGTTGGAGCTGTGGGTGGTGCAGCGCAAGCAACCAGTGGTCCCTCTGTAGGCGCAGGCGTCCTGTGGCTGGCCGCAGGGACAGGCATATCAGAAACCGGATGCCGCCCATCAAGATATATATATATATATATATATATATATATATATATATATATATATATATATGGAGAGGAAGAGGGAGGTAAGGCGTTAACCATTCTGTGCATGTTGACTTCAAAAGAGCGCATGTATTTCAATAAACCGTACCAACTCGAGGATATATATAACACTGGTAGCTTATCAGTCTCTGCATACATAAGGGATCATGATCAAGTTCTTGACATCTTCCTTGGCAAGTCGTACTAGTGGGGTAGCCTAGTACCCCAACACACTGCCTTAGGTTGCTCCACTGGTGATTGTTGTGTGTTTTGAGAATTTATTATCTCTGTTTACCATATGTCTTCGATCGGATAAAAATAAACGCTAGGTTGAAGCTGGGATTTAATCTAGTCTAGTTTGCGTTATCATTCTTCTAGAACTGCTCAGTTATTCATTTTGGCCACAATTTTCAGCTTCGATTTAGGTCACACTTTTCTCTGGATGCCTTCGATTTCGACAATGGTTGCACATAATTTGAGTGAAATGCGCTTGTGGAGCACAAGTGACAATGGGAATCTGCACGTGATGCAGCACACGAAATATTAAAGCTTACCGTATGTCCAACAACTTTCGGACTAAAATCACGTGATTTCGTCGACATTTTTGGACAGTGGAGTAAACGAGACTTGATGTGATAAGGTAGCATTTGCGAAACGGAACTCCGATGTATGCGAAAAGTTACCACACCTAGTAGGATTCAAAAGTACAGAATCAGATGAGAAACTGAATAATGCCGAAACTTTCAGTAATTCAATACATCGATAAATCCACCAAGAAAAGATCCTGACAACATGGTCACGAGATAAGTAACGGGGCGCCTCTGCGTTTTTGTCACCATTTGCTCTTTCCCTCGCGTCTTAAACTGGACCGTTCG